CAGGCACTTATACTCAATAAATTAACTGTTTTCATGTTTAAACAGCTACTATTGCTCACAATACTTTCAAGAGCTTCATAATTGAATTACTAGCTCACATTTTTGGGTGTGACTAAGTTATTATAATGAAATTCATGAGCATAATTGGGAGCATAATAGCTGATTGGTAGAGCATAATAGAGCTGTTTCCTGGGAATTGCAGCATAGCATAATAGAGCAATTTTAGAGCATAATCCGCCAAACCCTATACATGTACATGTACATAGTATAATTTGGGTTATTGGTCAGACCATAATAGCTCATTAATTTCTATGATATCTACTTAACTTAATTGCTGCTGGTTATGAACCATAACAAGTTTATTGAAGTGTTGGTGATTATTTCTTAACCTTTTCATTTCATTATTTGGAATCATGATCACCTTCAACTGTCTCTAGATGTAATTACATATTAGTGGATAGTGTGGCTAGTAGCACCTTCCTTATTTGGTAAAGTATGCATTTAGTTAAAACGATAATAATTACTGCTACTTATGGGCGATGGGCATTCTCTTAGGGGGTAAACCCCTTTAATTAACAAGAGATTGCAGCTTTACTTTTTGCATTCTTAATTCTTGCATTTTGATTTTTTTTGTCTGTAATTATTGGTCAGTTTGAGCATTTTGTATTTTCGATTGCTGCCTAAAGTGAAGTCAGACTTGAGTAGTATATAATATTATAGTACTAAATGTATATAGTATAGCTCTGCAAGGTAAGACAGAAATGTCCTTGAAAGACTTCTCCTGCAGTATAAGAGAAGCTTATTAGAATATTAATGATGAAGTAACTCATCTTCATTTCTCTGACCATGACATGACAATGAAGGCATGCAGCCTCAAGTAGCTCATTATGGGTTAGGGAATTCCCCCTGACTACTTGTGCCTTGTAGACACAACACATGCTTCCTATTGATTGTAATTGCTTCATAACATTATGTTAATCTTCTCATTGTACCGTATAGCGGGTATATTTTGTCTGGAAAAATGTTCGTTCTAAGCAGGATTAGAAATTTTTGTTTGTTTTATTTTCGTTCTGAGCAGCCATTTTGCACACGTGGCATTGAGGAAACGCCCTTTTCGTTTGGAAAATGTTTGTTCCACAAGGAATGAGAACAAAAAGAACAAAATTAAACTCGAACGGAATATACCCGCTATACGGTAGTCTAATAAAGTCTATTGCTTCAGTCTTGTAGATTAACTCCTTACATGTTAATGTTCTTGTCATTTACTTTAGGATCCTTTCCCATTGTTTCCTGGAGAGAGATTACCTGAGAGTGGCAGTGCTACTGGTATGTTGTAATTCTCCTTCTCCTTCTCACTCTCCCTCTTTCTTTCACTCTCACTTCCTCTCTCATTGTTCATTTCCCTAATTCATTTATTTCATTGCAATGCATCACTCAATATTAATGTGATTACTAACTGCAAGGAGACTAATGGCTATAGCCTACAGTAGGTCCATAGTTCACACTACATGTATGTTTATCAACACTGTTTGTTTGGGTTTAGTTCATAAAACATCTACTTGACATCATGAAAGCCTGCAATCACTAGTCAGTGCAATGTTATAGCATGGAACACAAAAGATTTTTTTACATGTATATTTAATCTGTAATGTAACTGTATACATGAAAAGACTGCCCAACAGGGAAACAAAACCCATAGAAATATCAAGTATTATTACAGCCATAGATACTATGTTACAGCACATACACAAAGCAAAGAGGCCAACAACAAGCAAATTAATCAATGATGCACTACTGGTGCTTCAAATAGCCCAGTGACTTACAAAAAGGAATATATTATAAGCTATGAAGTATGAATACGAAGAGGGAGACATCTTTATTAATCTGTTTCACTCATTCTCCTCTCCTTTCTCTCTCTCTCTCTCTCCATTAGATTATTCTCGTGCTATTAAGCGTCTTCCAACCATAAAAGCAGATCATGGCATTCACTTGAGTGCTCTGGTTGATATGGAGGAGACTGATACTGCTCCAGCTCGTAAGGCAGGGGATGAGTGGCAGCTGAGAGGACCATTGACATACATACCTAAACCAGAAGAGGTCAGCATTAATTGTAATACACATATTCATTGTGCTTGTTATGTTGGTCATGTTTTCGGTTTAATTTTGTAGCCCCACTGGACTGCTTGTTTAATGAGGGCTCAGTTGTATAAACTTTTTAATTAATTTAATTTATATCTGATAGCTACATGTACAGTATTCAGTCATGCATATGGAGTTTTGTAATGCATCATTGCTTATTTCATGAATAGCATCTTGAACATTTGCTATTGATGGCTTGTTGCATTCCAATTCTCAAACTATGTACCATTATGATTAGATTCCATTGTTGTACTTACATTGTACATTGTAAGTGCATTATCTTCCTCCTCTACCCTCAGCAAGTAGTAAAGATGGTGTCTCCTATTATAATAACTCCAGGTCATGCTGTTCGTCTCAGAGCTCGTCAAGCCTTTACTGACGCTAAGGGAATGTAAGACTAACCACACCCACTAGTTAATTAATAGTTATTAATAGTTATCGTTGCACTGGTGAGGAGTGGCTGGTGAGAGATATTGGAGCTTATCTACCTGATGTGTATGAGGAGGTGAGGATTATTGTAGTATAAGATATAGCATGTAGTATGTTGATTCTCATTATTCACATCTTTCCTGTGAATGACGTTTGATTTATAATAATATTCA